ACAATCAAAACTTTGGAGCTTAATGCCTTAATCGTGCTTCCTGTTATATTTAAAAAGATTGACCAAAGAAGGTTTCGGCACATCCATCTGTTTTACTTTGCCAGAATCGTTATTTTGAGGTTTAACAGTCGGATATCCAGGTTCTGTGACTTTCTCAACAAATTCTGCATCATCCGCTACATATTTTTCATCTTCCTCTTCAGAATTAGTCTGATTACCTTGGATAGAAACATTATATTGAGGTTTTGCAACCGACTCCACAGATGCAGTGTCTTCCTCTTCAAAATCTGTTTCTTCCTTTTCAGATTCCGTGCCTTCTTCTTCATCTTCTTACGTTTTTTCTCAGAACGCTCAGATTCTGTGTCTTCCTCACCAAGTGTTTGAGAAACACTTGAAGAAGAAGCTCCATACATTTTACGATGTGCAGGACAAATGGTAGAAGGAGCAGTGACTGCCTTACCAAGAGCTGGAGAAACGCTTGATGTTTTGGTAGCCATAGCTGGGATTTCATACCTGTTCTTGACTGGAACTTGAGTAGAAAATGCCCTGTTTGCCTGAACAAAAAACTGCTTCATTGGAACGAACTTTTGGCCATTTTTCTTCTTGCTCATTGAGCAGTGGCGAGAAAAAACTAGGCGTGCAGGCAGACTGAAGAACTTTGCTGAAAGAAAATATCCAGAACACTCCTTGGAAGAGCTAAAGTGGCCAGATTGTGCAAGGCAGGCTGAGAGAAAGTTCAAAATTCTTTCTGGAATTGCCTGAAACAGCATGCACTTACCTAAACGGGATGTGAAATTCAAATTTTCAAAATGGGTGGAAGATAGGGATGGCAACAGCCCCGTTGCCCGTTTAAGGCGGGGTGGGGTCCTTGCCCCGTTTACTACCCCATTTAATTTTATTTTTTTTAATTTTTGATAATTTATTTTTATTGCCCCATATTCATTAGATTTAGACAAATAATTTTAGTTGCTATTTTCTATTAGAACTAATAAAATTTAGTGAAAATTTTCATTTAAAATATTGAATTCTAAAAAAAATATTAAAAAAATTTTTTAACGGATAGGGGCGCCCGTTACCCGTCCCCACCACAGGGCAAAATTCTTCGCCCCATCCCCGCCCGAATGCCCGATTAAGCGGGTTATTTCCTCGAGCATTGAGTTTGTCGAGTTTTTTTCTCATTCCTAGTGGAAGAGAATTTGAATTCTTTACCCGAGTAGGTAAAAATCAGTTGCCAGAACGCTCTTGAATCTTCAAGAATAATGTCAAAAACTTGCTGGCTGCTCGCCGGTTACAAATCTTTCTAGAAACTCTTGAATCTTCAATGACTAAACACAAAGTGCTGACCCAAATTTCATATTTTCAAAGAGAGTTCAAGTGTTCAAGGAGAATCACTATGAATTTGGACAAACTTAACATAAAAACTGCATGCTTGATTCGAAATTGCCAAGAGATGAAGGTAAAATTGAAATAAGAACAAGGAACTCGTAACTGCAAGTGGGCGTCCAAGTGGCATTTTCTCTCACTAGGATGAGAGCTTCTCTCTCTAACTTACTTGACTTACTAGCTAGTCATTTTTAAGTTACCATTCTATTTTATGCGAATAGAATCTGGTTTTGCAGTTTGTTTAGGGTACTATTCCGATGTAGTTCCCATATATGATTATGAAACGAGCTAGATTAACAAATGCTTGCACTATAATTTCTTAAGCTACAATTTCATTTGGGTAAATCATACTAATAATCTCTAAAATTCATCAAAAGATCACTCTAAGTGCA